TCCCATACCAATTTATTTATAGAGCACTTAAAACAGCAACAAGGCCAACCAAAGTGCTGTACAAGCAAGCACAGTGGACAGGAAAACAACAAACAAAAATGTAGATACAAATAGCAGCAGATAATAACTAAATGACCAATACTGTAGGGTACAGACAGAATCGAAACAAATCACACCATGTCAAAGGCAAGGGAATAAAAGTGAGTTTTCAAGCGAGACTTAAAGTGTGAGCCTGAGTGACATGCAGTGGCAACTCATTCCAGTCTTGGACCTGCAACAGAGAAACCCCTGTCACCTCTGAGCTTTCGACGGGTTCCTGGAACTGAAAGAAGCATCTGGTCTACTGACTTCAGAGAACACGCTGGGACATATGGCTGCAGAGGATCAGTGAGATAAGATGGGGCAGACCTGTTCTGTGATTTAAAAACATAAATGAGTATTTTTAACTGGATTCAAAGGTGAATGGGTAGCCAGTGCAGGGAGGCCAATACTGGAGTAATGTGCTCTATATGGCCTGTACCAGTAAAAAAATCAGGCTGCAGCATTTTGGACCAGTTGTAGACGTGCAATGGAGGATTGATTGATTCCAAACAGAAGCGCATTGCAGTAATCGAGCCTGGATGTTATGAATGCATGGATCACTGTCTCAAGATTCCTTTGGATAGCAAAAGGTATATGCATATATTTATGTGTATATACATTATATTTATGTGTATATGTATGTATCTAAAGGCGTTTTAAACCTTTCCCACAGTCATGCAATATTCTAAACAATGTAATTGTTAAACCAGGGGTGTCAAACTCAATTGCACAGGTGGGCAAACTCAAAGCACACTTTTAGGTCACGGGTCAGACAGGATAAACATTTATTAAACACACTGATCCTAAATGTTTTTTGAATAAAATATAAATTAAAAACAGACAGGGATATTTTTTCCAGATTAAAAAAACTTACACTTTAAATAACTTAATGTGTTTAGAAAATAAACATCTCAGTTCTAAACATAACGTCCCAGTGGCTTTTAAACCCCAAAATACATTAAAGACTGGTTCATCCCAAAGATCCAGTCTCCTGGCACAAACAGAGTAATATTGTGTATGCTGTTCAGTGTCAGGAGGGTGATCAGTCTTACATCGGGGAAACTAAACAGCCACTGGCCAAAAGGATGGACCAGCACAGAAGATCAACATCATCAGGCCAGGACTCTGAGGTCTACACTCATCTCCAGGCCAGAGGTCACTCTTTCAAGGATGAAGATGTTCACATCCTGGATAGAGAGGAACGATGGTTTGAGAGAGGAGTAAAGGAGGCCATCTTTGTGAAAAGAAACCGTCCATCATTAAACAGGGGTGGAGCCTCCAGGTTCAACTGTCCCCCTCTTACAATGCTGTTATTGCTAGAATCACTCAACCCCCTGTGAATAGTAAACAGCCATCAGGTGCTAATGATCCATTGTTAGGCTGATGGTCCTTCTTGACCATGTGAGCAGCTGGTTTTGGTTGTCAGCAGCAAACTGGTTGATCCACTCTGAGAAGGTGCTATTTACAAGACAGAGCTTACCATACCATTTTATTTATAGAGCACTTAAAACGGCTACAAGGCCAACCAAAGTGCTGTACAGACAGAACAACAGGTAACACACAAAGCAAAATACAAAATGAGGTAAATCAGAATATAGACAAAAAACGATGCAGATAATGACAAACCAGTGTGGAGCATACAGGATCAAAACACAGATCATCTGGTGTTGAAAGCTACTGAATAGTAGTGAGTTTTTAAACGGGACTTGAAAACCGAGAGGGAGGGGGCCTGTCTAACAAACAGAGGTAACTCGTTCCAAAGTCTTGGTCCTGCTACAGAGAAGGCCCTGTCACCTCTGCACTTAAGACGAGTTCCTGGAACTGTGAGGAGCAACTGGTCCGCTGACCTCAGGGAGCGTGGTGGGACATACGGTTGTAACAGATCAGAGAGATGGGGGGGGGGGGGGGGGGGGG